AAAAAACAGAACATAACCTGAATGTCTAAAAATAACACAATGATTTGAATAACTTCAAATGATGCACTGAATGAATTCAGATATTCATTCACTTTAAGTGAATAACTGCATGATGAATTACATTCCATCAAGCAGACAATCTAGTAAAGCTAATGATTATAAAGACCACAGAACAACACAAAACTTTTTTTAACAAGTTTGTTTTTTTTAGAGACAGGGTTGTGCCACGTTATCCAGGCTGGACTCAGACTGGAATTTCAGGGCTCAAGTGATCCTCCTGCCTCAGCCTCTCGAATAGCTGAGACTACAGGTGTGTGCCACCGCACCTGTCCACAAAATTTTTGATGTGATATTTAGCTTAAAAAGCAGGATGCACAATGTTAGTCACATTATTATTATGACCATGGTTTTAAAAACACAAATTAAGCAAAAAGTGATGAAATAAAATACACCAAATAATACTACTAATTGCATTTTGGTAGTCAACAACAGGGTTGGAATGATGACTTTTAATTACCTATTTTCCAAAGTAATTTGAACACACTTATACAATTCTCATAATGGGAAAAAGTAAACACACCATTTAAAAGTAAATTACATAGCATGAATTAAAACTTAATGACAACAGTTTCCAAGAAGGCAGGGGGAAAAAAAAAACCTCTTTCAGTATCTTCTATGTGTTCACATCTGTCTTTAAATCAAAACATGCTTTAGTAACTCCATCACTTGGAAAGTACGATTCTAAGCCATGAATACAACAATTTAAAAACGACAAAAGAAGCCTTTTAAGGAACATGGGTATGCATTCATATTAAAATAGTAGCTGTAATTTCCTAGAAGTTTTGTTTGTTTTTTGAGACAGAGTCTCATGCTGTCTCCCAGGCTGGAGTGCAGTGGCGCCATCTCGGCTCACTGAAACCTCTGCCTCTTGGGTTCAAGTGATTCTCTTGCCTCGGCCACCTGAGTAGGTAGGACTATAGGTGTGCGCTACCACATCCAGCTAATTTTTTGTATTTTGAGTAGAGATTTTGGAAGTGCAAAATTGAGGGTTTCACCATGTTGGCTAGGCTGGTCTTGAACTTCTGACCTCAAGCAATCTGCCCACCTCGCCCTCCCAAAGTGCTGAGATTACAGGCGTGAGCTACTGTGCCTGGCCTCCTAGAAGTTTTTAATGAAACTATATTGAATTAGTCATTTTTGAGTGCTGACATTTAAGGCAACTGCAAGCTAGATACAATGTGTCCTTCTCAAAATATAAATGATCTAGTTAAGAATAGGAATAGAAATAAGGTTTTAAAACACATAAAGTAAAATCAATTGAGTACTAACTATATGTGTGAATCATCCATATCCTCTTAACATAAATATCATATAAACATTATATGTGTATATATATATGCATGTATGTGTATGTAATAAACTTAAATAACCAATAACAGTTCAAACCTACTTTACTTGATCTTTAACATTCTTTTTTGCTTTTTTTGAGACAGGATCTCACTCTGTCGCCCAGACTGGAGTGCAGTGGCGTGATCTCAGCTCACTGCAACCTCCACCTCCCAGGATCAAGTGATTCTCCTGCCTCAGCCTCCCAAGTAGCTCAGATTATAGGCACATGCCACTACCAGCCGGCTAATTTTTGTATTTTTAATAGAGACGGGGTTTCACCATTTTGGCCAGGCTGGTCTCGAACTCCCGACCTCAAATGATCCACCTGCCTTGGCCTCCCAAAGTGCTGGGATTACAGGCATGAGCCACTGCACCTGGCCAGATCTTTAATATTCTAATTTTCTTCTTTAATTAAACTCACCAATTGAAGCAAATAACTTGTAATAAGATCATATTTTCCTTTCATAGTAGAAAAAAAAAATAAAACAAAAAAACTCAGGTATTGTAGGCACACTTATGGTTCTCTTAAAAAATCAGAATCCAAATGTATGCATGCATGCCTTTAAAACCGTCTTGAATTTTGTCATAAAGAGTGGTTAGAAAATAGTTTTTATCCACAAATTCTTGCTGTAGTTATTATACTCAACAGTTCAGTTTGGAGAAACATGTAAATCACAGGGGAACCCACCAAACCTGCCTACGTCAGTGTATCTAGGATATTGGGGGTTTCTGATATCTTAGATCAAAATTTTCTTCTTACTCCTTACTTCTCCCAAATAAATTCTTAATTCTTAATTCCAAATAAATTCTCCCAAAATACTTCTTCTCACTGCTTCCCAAATAAAACTCAAACTTCTTCACATAGTATTGCAAGGCCCTCCAGAATCTGATCTCTAATTATTTTTCGGCCCTGTGCTCAAGGAAGAAGCACCTTTTTCTGTCACCCAGGGAACGCTGTGAGCAAAGGTCCAAGTGGCACTTTTCGCCACTTGGACCTTTGCTCACAGTGCTGCCTCCACCCTGATACACGGCTCAAGGCCATACTCAAAGGTCCCTCCACCCACAAAGCCTTGTGTATCTCCCTGCTCTCACTTGCTCCCTTCTTCCTCGAGCCTGCCCACTCACCACCAGAGCACTGAAAAGTGCTCTGCAGACACTTGCTTCTTAAATGCCCAAGTCCCAGGGCCAGTGGTGGTCATTTTAGTCCTTGGCACGTTCAGCGACAGAAGACTGGGAGCTGGGGGGCCTCTTCCTGGAATCAAACCCAGACAATTGCCCACGCCTGCCCACTTGGCTTTCAAGCTCAGCTTCCTCTGCCCTCACATTCAGTCTATCCTATTTATTATCCATTTTTCCTTTCTGAGAAACAGCACTTTCAGATCTTAGCAAATTAGCAGAAAAAGAAATTAACTTCTTCTCATGTTCATTACTTGATTTCCCCAAGGAAGTGCAAAATTAATGAGAGCACAAGAAGAGAAGTGAAAGAGGCTTCCAGGTGCTTATAAAAGCCACTTTAAGTGGCTTCAAGAGCTGATAGAATTTTTTTCATCATGTCTAATATCACATCAAAACTTATTCTTTTATAAAATAAAAGGAAAACCATATCATATAGCTCATAAGCTTATGAGCTACGAATATAATTGAACATGGAGGGAGACTGGCAAAATGGATAAACACATTTCTAAGCGGGCAAGAGAAACCAGAGATGAAGGAGATGAGAACATAAGAAGAGCCTGGATTAACTGAGAAGGAATGAGAAAAAGTAATAACAATGATAATACTAATAAAGAAGGCCACAGGGCACCCCAGAGAGCAGGCTCTCACTGTGTGCTGTCAAACCATGCTCAGCACTGCCTAAGTGCTTGATGAGTGCACTGAACAAATGCATTTCTCCTTGATTCCAACACTTGTGGGCTTCGAATGTTTCATGCTTTAAATATCTGGGCTTTTGCACACAGGAATCCTCTGCCTGTGATGGTCCTCCCCCAGACTCCATCGTTTACCTCGTTGATTCCCACTCAGCCTTCAGATCGCAGCCCATGTGCTTGGCACTGTGCCTCTGCAAAGGCTCCCAGCTCCGCCTTTGCTCTCTTAGTATTATTCTTTTTTTCAAATGCTTATTGTAGTTTGTGATTATATATAGTCATGTGTTGCTTAACAACAGGGGTATGTTCTGAGAAATGCATCGTTAGGCAATTTTGTTGTTGTGCCAACATCATAAAATATACTTACACAAACCTAGATGGTATGGCCTCCTATACATCTCGTCTATATGGTATAGCCTATTGGTCCTAGGCTACAAATTTATACAACATGTTACTTTACTGAATACTGTTGGCAACTGGAATAAAATCACGAGGCAATAGGAATTTTTTGGCTCCATTATAATCTTATAGGATTTCTATCATATAGTTGTCCATCACGGACCAAAATGTCATCAGGTGGCATCTGACTGTAAATAATCAACTCTTTAAAGTGCAGATAGTATGCTCCATGAGGGCAGAGAGAGGTACATTTTTCTCAGTACCACTGTATCATCCATAGAACTAATGGATGGCATATGGCATATAGCATATAGCATATAGCAGGCATCTTGGAAGCATTTGTTACACAAATGAATGAAGGGTTAAAATACTTGTTTGGCTTCCTGACTTGTTGAGCTTCCCACACACAACAAAATCCAAAACTCCCAGAATGGTTTTTCCTTGCCTCTCCAGTGCCCTACAAAGACACCCTCTACACGTACAACTTGCAGATCTTCCAATGGACCGCATCCTCTCACTCCCTCCTCGGCCTGCCCAGGATGTCTCCACTTTGGAATTCCTTTCCCTGTCCCGTATTCAGGACTCGGCTTCGGTACTGTCTCTTTTGGAAGCCTCCTTATCTCTCCCTCAGACTGGACTAGGTGCTTTTCTACTGTGTACTCCTAGCATGTTGTATCATAGAACTTATCTTGCTTATTTAGCATACTTTTATTCATATGGTTACTTGTATGTTTCTGCCATTACACTGAGTTCCTTGAAATCAGGGATCTAGCTAATAGTCACATGTTCATGTTACGTGTGTGTGTGTGTGTGTGTGTGTGTGTGTGTGTGTATATATATTTTGTGTGTGTGTGTGTGTGTGTGTGTGTGTGTGTGTGAGATGGTTTCACTCTGTTGCCCAGGCTGGAGTACAGTAGTACAATCACAGCTCACAGCAGCCTCAACCTCCCGGACTCAAGTGATCCTCCCACCTCAGCCTCCCCAGTAGCTGGGACTACAGCCATGAACCACCACCACCTAGATTATTTTTTAAAATTTTCTGTAGAGATGAGGTCTCAGGCTCATGTCATATCTTTTATGAAATATGCTTGGCACAATGTCAGACACATAGACATGTGCCTGTTACACAAATTTGGTCTCTGCTGAATGAACACATTGAATAGTCATTTTGCAAACAGAAAAGATTAAGTCAGATCATCATGAAATAAAAGACACTTAAAGGAACTAAATATGCTATGACTGAGTGTTGAATTAACTTATTTTTTATGATATGCTCAAATTACTTCAATCATATATAAATGTTGAAAAACAAAGCAAGAGACACTCTGGGAAAAGTCAAACACTTACAAGGAGCATCAGCATGAAGGATCCCATATAGATGATCAGGAAAAACAACGAGATCATAGTTAGAGTGAGAATTCCACGTATCCACCAGTTTTTCCACCTACAAAGAAAACGGAAAGTTAGTATTTAATGTGTTCTTAAGGTTTTTTTGTGTGGTTTCAGTATTGATTTGCCAGATTTATGAATTTTCCTTAACTATACTTTAAGATTCCACTACTTCACTTTATATAATAACAAACAACAAAAACAAAAACCAAGTAGCATTCATGCACCCCACCACCACCACAAGCCTCACACTTCACCCCCAGTGTGCCACACAAATATCACTCCTTGTGTGACCATGTCATATAAACTGTTGGCAGCCTTGTATGAAAAATCCAGAATAATTCAAATACATGGATGGTGATTTCTGAATGCTCTTATACACAAATGATGACATCTATATTTAGAATTGTTGCTGTTTTTCTTTAGGACTTTTCTGATTTTTATTAATTCAACTGGTAGCACTTAAATTATGTTACAAGAGATTTTGATTCAACTTAAAGCCTAGTAACATATATGCAGTGTATTCTAAGCACAAGTCCTCACTCCTTTTTTTAAAAAAATAGAGACAGGGTCTCACTATCTTGCTCAGGCTGGTCTCTAACTCCTGGGTTCAAGTGATCTTCCTGCCTTGGCCTCCCAAAGTGCTGGGATTTCAGGTGTGAGCCACCATGCCCAGCCCTCATTCCCTTCTTAGAACAGAAATATTAGCTGCCTTCATAAGATATAGAATCGCTTCAGCCCTGGAGTTTGAGACCAGCCTGGGCAACGTGGTAAAAACCGAGCTCTACAAAAAAGGCAAAAATCAGCTGGGCGTGGTGGTACTCGCCTGCCTGTGGTCCCAGCTACTGAAGGGTGGTGGCAGTGGGGAGGGGGACAGGAGGCAGGGCATGTCAGGGCTGAGGTGGGAGGAACACTTGAGCACAGGAGGTCAAAGCTGCATTGAGCCATGATTGTGCCACTGCACTCCAGCCTGGGTGGCAGAGCAAGATACTATCTCTTAAAAAAAAAAAAAAAAAAAAAGATTACATTCCTTGCTTTCAACCACTCTCCAATATAATTTAGACACTTCCAACAAACACTCTTTTCAAATACTCCTTTGAAGGATCTAAAATACCAACATACCAACAACATATATTTTTTTCCAGTTTCCAATTTCTTCATAAGGTAGTCAAATTGCACTCATTCAACTTTATTTCCCTCTATTAACAAACTATGTAGGCATAAACTTCTCATGAGAGCTTGAGCATGGGGCAGAACTGAAAATGAGTGTAGAGTCAAAAATGCTATGGCTGAAAGGCTCCATGTAGTTGTACAGATACAACTGTTTGCGGATTAATGGATGGATTAGGAAACTGGGCTAGGTCACAAATCTAGTCAGAGGTAAATAAAGCACAACAAGCCAAGGCAAAATCCTGTCTCTATAAAAAATACAAAAATTAACCAGGCATGGTGGCTCACGCCTGTAGTCCCAGTTACTTGGGTGGCTGAGGTAGGAGGATTGCTTGAGCCTGAGAGGTAGAGGTTGCAGGGAGTTGAGACTGTGCCACTGCACTCCAGTCTAGGCAATAGAGGAAAATCCTGTTTAAAAAAAAAAAGTAAGGGGAGGGCAGAAACCTTGACCAAGGGATTTCCCTTTAGGACTTTATCCTAAGGAAATAATTAATGGATGTTAAACCAAAGTGAGCTACAAAGAAAAATGTTTAATGTAGAGGTATTTTTAATTGTGAACATTTAGTAATAAACTAAATGCCCACCAATAGGTGGTCAGTTGGATAAACTAGACTACAGCCATACAACAAAATATGTCATAGACATTAAAAATGTCTCTGAAATATATTTAGGATCCTACATAAAATGTTGTTCCTAATAACACTATGGAACGAAAATGAAAACAGTAAGGTAGAAAACAGTACAATCCCATTTTTGCCTTACACACATCCATACACACACACACACACACACACACAGAGCACAAAAAAAAAGCCTCAAAGAGTAAACACCAAAGTATTCTAAATATTAATGTCTTGGTAGGAGAATTACAGGATTTTTTTCCCCACAAGTAATGTACATTTCTTATGTAATTACTATTTTTAATCCTATGTATCTATAAATTCTAAGTCTTTGCAGGACAGTCTGTTTTCTTTTTTTTATTATTATTATTATACCTTAAGTTCTAGGGTACATGTGCACAATCTGAAGGTTTGTTACATATGCATACCTGTGCCATGTTGATGTGCTACACCCATTAACTAGTCATTTACATTAGGTATATCTCCTAATGCTATCCCTCCCTGACACCCCCCACCCCACGCAGACCCCGGTTTGTGATGTTCCCCACCCTGTGTCCAAGTGTTCTCATTGTTCAATTCCCACCTATGAGTGAGAACGTGTGGTGTCTGGCTTTCTGTCCTTGTGATATTTTGCTCAGAATGATGGTTTCTAGCTTCATCCATGTCCCTACAAAGGACATGAACTCATCCTTTTTTGTGGCTGCATAGCATTCCATAGTGTATATGTGCCACATTTTCTTAATCCAGTCTATCATTGATGGATATTTGGGTTGGTTCCAAGTCTTTGCTATTGTGATTAGTGCCTCAATAAACATACATGTGCATGTGTCTTTATAGAAGCATGATTTATAATCCTTTGGGTATATGCCCAGTAATGGGATGGCTGGGTCAAATGGTATTCCTAGTTCTAGATCCTGGAGGAATTGCCACACTGTCTTCCACAATGGTTGAACTAGTTTACCGTCCCACCAAGAGTGTAAAAGTGTTCCTATTTCTCCACATCCTCTCCAGCACCTGTTGTTTCCTGACTTTTTAATGATCGCCATTCTAACTGGTGTGAGATGGTATCTCATTGTGGTTTTGATTTGCATGTCTCTGATGGCCAGTGATGATGAGCATTATTTCATGTGTCTGCTAGTTGCATAAATGTCTTCTTTTGAAAAGTGTCTGTTCATATCCTTTGCCCACTTTTTGATGGGGTTGTTTGATTTTCTTCTTGTAAATGTGTTTAAGCTTTTTGTAGATTCTGGATATTAGCCCTTTGTCAGATGGGTAGATTGTAAAAATGTTCTCCCATTCTGTAGGTTGCCTGTTCACTCTGATGGTAGTTTCCTTTGCTGTGCAGAAGCTCTTTAGTTTAATTAGATCCCATTTATCAATTTTGGCTTTTGTTGCCATTGCTTTTGGTGTTTTAGTCATGAAGTCCTTGCCCATGTCTATGTCCTGAATGGTATTGCTTAGGTTTTCTTCTAGGGTTTTTATGGTTTTAGGTCTAACATTTAAGTCTCTAATCCATCTTGAATTAATTTTTGTATAAGGCAAAAAGAAGGGATCCACTTTCAGCTTTTTACATATGGCTAGCCAGTTTTCCCAGCACCATTTACTAAATAGGGAATCCTTTCCCTATTTCTTGTTTTTGTCATGCTTGTCAAAGATCAGATGGTTGTAGATGTGTGGCATTATTTCTAAGGGCTCTATTCTGTTTCACTGGTCTATATTTCTGTTTTGGTACCAGTACCATGCTGTTTTGGTTACTGTAGCCTTGTAGTATAGTTTGAAGTCAGGTAGTGTGATGCCTCCAGCTTTGTTCTTTTGGCTTCAGACTGTCTTGGCAATGTGGGCTCTTTTTTGGTTCCATATGAGCTTTAAAGTAGTTTTTTCCAATTCTGTGAAGGAAGTCATTGGTAGCTTAATGGGGATGGCATTGAATCTATAAATTACCTTGGGCAGTATGGCCATTTTCACAATATTGATTCTTCTATTCATGAGCATGGAATGTTCTTCCATTTGTTTGTGTCCTCTTTTATTTCATTGAGCAGTGGTTTGTAGTTCTCCTTGAAGAGGTCCTTCACATCCCTTGTAAGTTGGATTCCTACGTATTTTATTCTCTTTGAAGCAATGGGAGTTCACTCATGATTTGGCTCTTTGTCTGTTATTGGTGTACAGGAATGCTTGTGATTTTTGCACATTGATTTTGTATCCTGAGACTTTGATGAAGTTGCTTATCAGCTTAAAGAGATTTTGGGCTGAGACAATGGGGTTTTCTAAATATACAATCATGTCAGCTGCAAACAGGGACAATTTGATTTCCTCTTTTCCTAATTGAATACCCTTTATTTCTTTCTCTTGCCTGATTGCTCTGGCCAGAACTTCTATCACTATGTTGAATAGGAGTGGTGAGAGAGGGCATCCTGTCTTGTGCCAGTTTGCCAGTTTTCAAAGGGAACGCTTTCAGTTTTTGCCCATTCAGTATGATATTGGCTGTGGGTTTGTCATAAATAGCTCTTATTATTTTGAGATATGTCCCATCAATACCAAGTTTATTGAGCGTTTTTAGCATGAAGGGCTGTTGAATTTTGTCAAAGGCCTTTTCTGCATCTATTGAGATAATCATGTGGTTTTTATCTTTGGTTCTGTTTATATGCTGGATTATGTTTATTGATTTGCATATGTTGAACCAGCCTTGCATCCCAGGGATGAAGCTCACTTGATCATGGTAGATAAGCTTTTTGATGTGCTGCTGGATTCGGTTTGCCAGTATTTTATTGAGGATCTTTGCATCGATGTTCATCAGGGATATTGGTCTAAAATTCCCTTTTTTTGTTGTGTCTCTGCTAGGCTTTAGTATCAGGATAATGTTGGCCTCATAAAATGAATTAGGGAGGATTCCCTCTTTTTCTATTGATTGGAGTAGTTTCAGAAGGAATGGTACCAGCTCCTCCTTGCACCTTTGGTAGAATTCGGCTGTGAATCCATCTGGTCCTGGACTTTTTCTGGTTGGTAGGCTATTAATTATTGCCTCAATTTCAGAAACTGTTATTGGTCTATTCAGGGATTCAACTTCTTCCTGGTTTAGACTTGGGAGGGTATATGTGTCCAGGAATGTATCCATTTCTTCTACATTTTCTGTTTTATTTGCATAGAGGTGTTTATAGCATTCTCTGATGGTAGTTTGTATTTCTGTGGGATCGGTGGTGATATCCCCTTTATCATTTTTTATTGCGTCTATTTGATTCTTCTCTCTTTTCTTCTTTATTAGTCTTGCTAGCGGTCTATCAATTTTGTTGATCTTTTCAAAAAACCAGCTCCTGGATTCATTGATTTTTTGGAGGGTTTTTTGTGTCTCTATCTCCTTCAGTTCTGCTCTGATCTTAGTTATTTCTTGCCTTCTGCTAGCTTTTGAATGTGTTTGCTCTTGCTTCTCTAGTTCTTTTAATTGTGATGTCAGGGTGTCAATTTTAGATCTTTCCTGCTTTCTCTTGTGGGCATTTAGTGGTATAAATTTCCCTCAACACACTGCTTTTAATGTGTCCCAGAGATTCTGGTATGTTGTGTCTTTGTTCTCACTGGTTTCAAAGAACATCTGTCTTTCGTCTCATTGGTTTCAAAGAACATCTTTATTTCTGCCTTCATTTCATTATGTACCCAGTAGTCATTCAGGAGCAGGTTGTTCAGTTTCCATGCAGTTGAGCGGTTTTGAGTGAGTTTCTTAATCCTGAGTTCTAGTTTGATTGCACTATGGTCTGAGAGACTTATAATTTCTGTTCTTTTACATTTGCTAAGGAGTGCTTTACTTCCAACTATGTAGTCAATTTTGGAAGAAGTGTGATGTGGTGCTAAGAAGAATGTATATTCTGTTGATTTGGGGTGGAGAGTTCTGTAGATGTCTATTAGGTCTGCTTGGTGCAGAGCTGAGTTCGATTCCTAGATATCCTTATTAACTGTCAAGACAGTCTGTTTTCAATATAGACTAAAAACAGGATAAAAATGTATAAAACAGATTACATGTAAAACATTTGTGTAATCTTTGTAGAAAAGTTTCTTGAGGAGATTGAAACCATTATACTATCTACTGTTCATTTTCTAAAACCAATTCACTCATAAATAGCATAGATAAGAACACAGGCATTGAAGCCACAGTACTCAGGTTCAGAATGTGGTTCCATAACTTACTAGCTACATGACCCTTGATATATAATATCTGTCTACGTTTCCACATTTATATACTTGTGTTATGAGGTTGCCGTGAGAGTATTAGTTAACACATATAAAGTGCCTGAAGCAATGGTAGTACATAGTAAATGCTAAATAAATATTAGCTGCTAGTATTGGCTATTGTTACTTTATATCAGAAAAAAAAAAAAAACTTCCTGATTAAGGAAGATCTTATGAATGACACATACAAATCTGGCATCATTCTTATAGAACATCAACTACACAAAATTTCAGGTCTGAGATAGACTTGATGAGATTTTAACACAAAGTTACATCTGTGAATTAGGTCATGAAAACAACTGGGAACAAGAACTATTAAAATAATCATGCTTTTAATAGCAGATCAAACATATGTTCTATTGGTCAAAAAGTATGAAAATGTTGCTTTTAACCAATGTATTCTACTATGGTTATCCCTTACAAAGTAAAAAAAAGAAAAATTCATATTACATTTACTAGATACAACTAAACTAGTGGTTTTCAGACTGCAGGCTATGACCCAAGGGTAGTAAAATCCATTGAGTAAGTTACATGTAGCATTTTTTGTTCAATAACATAGAACAGCATCAAACAGAAAAGAAATCAGAGGGTATCACAGTAATGGGAAGAACTGTTTCATAACATTTTTGCAGCAGTTAAAATATACATTTGTGTGTCTTGGAATGTGGTATACAACGTATCTCTCACTGTGTCATAGTGTCAAAAAGTTGGGGAAACATTGTTCTTTCTATACCAATGTGTAACATTTCATACATTAATCTGGACAAAAGCTTAGGTTTATTTTGCTTTTATAAATTTTATAATTCATATTACTAAAGTATACAATGAAGGGTAATATAATTAGCTGAAATTTTGTGGTCATTAAACATTTTTAAATGTTGCACAAGTATAAAATGGTAATGGGTTGTGGAGTTTTAGACAATAATCTTAAACTCAGTTAAAAGAAAAAAAAAATACTGGCCTGGTGCCATGGCTTACACCTGTAATCCTAGCACTTTGGGTGGCCAAAGTGGGCAGACTGCTCGAGTCCAGGAATTCAAGACCAGCCTGGGCAATGTGGTGAAACCCCGTCTTATTTAAAAAAGAAAGAAAGAAAAGAAAAAAGAAAAAAATACCTATTTCTGTCTGGCATTTGAAAAATAGGGAACAGAGACTATAGAATTTTCTTTATTAGGTGTTCTAATACCAGAAAAAGCAACATGACGTGGTAAATAGATCATAGACTTCAGAATCTGACAGCCCAAGGCAAGAATCCCCGGTCTGTATCTTACTAGCTCTGTAGCCTTCAACAATTAACCTCTCAGCCTTGGTTTTCTCGTACTTCACAAGGTTTTAAGGGTGGATACACATTAAATACATAGAACTATACCTCAGATATTAGGTGGCGCCTCTTTGGCCACCTAATACCATAGCTGGAAAACTTACAAAAAGCCAAATTTCTTACATGGACAAGGATAACCTCAAAGCCTATCTTGTGCACTAAGATATACTCATCTTCATCCAATCATACCTGGAAGATAAACCAGATAGAGCTTTCTTGAGAATCTCAGGGGTTCTATCTGAGGATGCTGGAATTTCCGGAATATCAGAATCTGTTCTGGAATCCAAATCTCCATATCTGTCATCAATATCTGTTTCCTAAAATTAAAAAGACAAATTACTTTGCAAAATCATGTTTAGAAAAGCACATGCTTGCCAATACATTCATTTATTGCTCAGTGTGTCACATCTCAGTTACATAATCTAAAACAAAGAAACAATTATTAATTTATCTTGAGTATCTTAGCATTGCTATACTTCTTTGTTAGGAAAGTTTGATTACCTTTGCTAAAATCTACTATTAATAATATGAAGTATAACTTTAAACAAAAGAAGCTCCCATATTCTCTAAATCAGAAATATACCCCTAAAATCAGATACGTATTGTTTTGCCACTTACCTGGGAGATCCCGGTGTTAGTTCCATGTAGATTCTGATTGGCTGTTAAGAGTCCCTTTTTAAATCTGATTTCAATTAAAGCATCAACAATAAGAGTAATATCTTACATGAGCGTAGCATTTCACATATATTTTTAAACATTTCAACTTCCATCATTTTTATTAGATCCTCGAGAGAGAATCCCAAGTGAAGCAGGTCAAATGGACCTCATCTCTATTTTACTGGTAAGTAAACTATGATCAACAGCATTTGGTGATGAGATTTTTAAAGAAGTTATTTAAAACACAAACTGACTACTGAATGCATGTACAGGAGCTACGTGAGGATGCTGGAGATGGCAGGGAGCTCTAGGCCTTTAGACAAAGGTGGTCACTGCAGAATTTCCAGGGATAGGGTGGTCAATGCAGTTTTCAAAACAGAAATGTCATCTAATGTTCAGTTTTAAAGTTGCTCATTCTGCCATAAGTCCCCACTGCCATGTTCTTTCCTCTTCTACAACCTCTCCCCCCTCAGGCCCTACCCAATCCATCCTATCTTGGCAACCTTCAGTTATGAGTGGTAAACACACAGACACCTTGGGAGAATGGCTTACAGAGGAGGAAACTGGAGTGAGGGCGTTGAACTGGGATAGAGGAAAAAGAATATTCCCTGGAGGCAAATACAAACAGAGCACTGAGCAGGATATAGAGACTGAAATAATCCTAGGAATAAAAGCGCCCAACAATTCAGAATGTTGAGGATGTGCAATCCAAACTCAGCCCTTATTAGCTCCAAAACATCGGCAAATGTCATTGCCCCTTTGAACTGTTTCTTCATCCCTAAAATGAAGCATTTAGTACAGTGCCAAGGACTTAGTAAATTCAAATAAGCAGTAAGATAATATTATGATTGAATCAAGTCTTCTAATTCCTCATTAGGAGGCTCACCAAATATAATGTTAGCCTTTGGGAGTATTTTCAGTTTTCATAAAGCACTAATAAACTTTAGTTCCCTCACTTTTTAAGTATACAATTACAAAATTAAATGTGTCGATGTACCCTAAATGACAAATGAGAAATAGAAATGTCAGATTCCCACTGTGACACCAAGAGTCAGTTGGCCCCGAAGCTGCTTAAATACAGAGAGATGGTAACTAATAAACAACCACACAGAACATCCCCTCAGAAAATGGCATGTCACCTGCTGTCAGTCTGATAAGCCACAGAGCTTGGACATCTGGAACAAGGGAAACACATCAGTTTTGTTTCGCTTTTTTTTTCTTTTTCCCTGCCATTTTCTTTTCACCTTTAATAACCCAGAGTATTGACAGGGGTGGTGTGAGGGGTAGTGGGGATGGTGACTAATGGAAGTGGTTCTCTAGGGCAGTATCACTATCCTACAAAAAGAGCATGAGACTAGGAATCAGGAGTTACCACCCTAATTCTACCTCTGCCCTAACTAGCAGCGAGACAAAGGGCAAATCACTGAATCTGAAGGGAACTCAGGCCTTGGTTTCCTTATTTATAAAATACTAAAACCATCCAGACTAGCATTCAAGTTGTACTCCTCAACATACTAAAGTTTTCTGCAAGCCACTTTAAAGCCCACTTGGCAATAATGGTGACGTGCTGCAACCCTACCCTCCCCACCCTCAACAAGGCTGCCCTGCTTTTACTTACATTATTTAAGCTTCTGCTTTCTATTTTATACCCTTTAGAGAAGCACAAAATAAAAACTTAAATTGGACTAGGAGTCTATTTCATTCTAGTAATTAAAGAATACAAGATAATTTCCAAATAGTGGCATTTTGGAGCAATGTTACTCAATTATGAGAATGAGTAACAGGGGCCCTTGTTTGACTGTATTTAATATATAGACTTTGTTACAAAGATGCCAGACTTGAAAAGGAAAATAAGAGTGTGAATGGAGGTCAGAGAAAAGAAGGAAGTACTATAATACTTTTAATGATCAAATAGAGCTATGCAGCATTGTGCACGTTGAATGAAGGTATTTATTTATTTTATTTATTTATTTATTTAGTTAGTTAGTTAGTTAGTTAGTTAGTTATTTGAGATGGAGGCTCACTCTGCCACCCAGAATGAAGTGCAGTGGTACAATCTCAGCTCACTGCAGCCTCCACCTCCCAGGTTCCAGCAATTCTCCTGCCTCAACCTCCCTTGTAGCTGGGATTACAGGTAAGCCCCACCAGGCCCAGCTCATTTTTGTATTTTTAGTAGAGATGAGGTTTCGCATGTTGGCCAGGCTAGTCTCGAACTCCTGACCTCAGGTGATCCACCCGTCTCGACCTCCCAAAGTGCTGGGATTATAGGGGTGAGCCACCATACCTGAATGAAGGTATTTAAAATGTTTACAACAACCTAAAAATTCGTAGCTGCTTCTTCTCAAGCTCACAATTTAAAGATAATGATCTTTAACTTTCTGTCTTGGGCCTGTGTTCTCCCACCACCATGTGATCTCCCACGGACCCCGTACACCGATGACTCCCTGTAAACTTATGTCTCCAGCTTCCAACATGCCATCTCCAGGTGGTTTTCTACTGGCATCATCTGAAATTCAACATAAGCAATGGACTTCTCTCTCTTCCACATCAAAATGCTGCCTCCTTCTATAATTCCTTCTTTGGAGAAGATACCACCACCAATCCAGTTAACCAATTACTCAGGTCAGAAACTTAGGCATCACCTTAACACTTGATATCTGCCTCCTTTAACCAACACATTCAGTCGGCACCAAGTCTGTCATTTGTCTTTCCCTCCATTTCTTTTTCTTTTGCTCTTTTTTTTTTTTTTTTTTTTTTTTGAGACAGGGTCTTACTCTGTCACCCAGGCTGAAGTGCAGCGGCATGATCTTGGCTCATGGCAACCTCAGACTCCTGGGCTCAAGCCATCCTCCCACCTCAGCCTCCTGAGTAGCTGGGAGTAAAGGCATGCACCACCACACTTGGCTAATTTTTTTTGGCATTTTTCATAGAAATGGTGTATCACCATATTTCCCAGGCTGGTCTTGAACTCCTGGGCTCAAGCAATCCACCTGCCTTGGCCTCCCAAAGTGCTGGGAGTACAGGTGTGAGCCACTGTGCCCAGCCTCCCTTCATTTCCATTCTCATTCACTGCTGCAAGCCTTGCTGACCATCACCTTCTTCTGTAAACACCTCATAAGGCTTTTTTGGAGAAAATCTTCTAAAATTTCTATGAAAATGCAAAGAACATAGAAGAGCCAAACAAGTTTGGAAAAAAACTAAATTTGAAGGACTTATATTACCTGTTTTCAAGAGTTCTTATAAAGCTGCTGTAATCAAGACAATGTGGTACTGACATAACAGACAAAATAATCAATGGAAAAGAATAGTCCAGAAATAAATCTACATACATATGGTCAATGGATTAACAACAAAGTTGCAAAGGTAACTCAACAGACGGTACTGACACAATTTTAATGAAGAACCTTGATCCATACCTCACACCACAGATAAAAATTAAATCAAAACAGATCACAGACATTTATATAAAGCTATAAATCTTCCATAAACTTTCTGAGACCTTGGTTAGGCAAAGATTTCTTAGTATGATAACAAAATTATTATCCACCAAAAAAATGATAAATATAACTTCATCAAAACTAACAGTGTCTTTCAAAAGACACTGTTAAGAGAATGAGAAGACAAGTCACAGAATTAAAGACATTTTCAAATCACATATCTAATAAAGGACTTGTAATCTGGAATACATAACGAACTCTCAAAATTCAACAAAGAACAACTCAATAAATGAACAAAATATTTGGTCAGACATTTCAGGGGTAATACACAGATGGTAAATAAATACATGAAAATATGTTCAACATTATTAGTTATTAAGGGAATGCAAGTCAAAATCACAATGTGATTCTACTATACATCTATTAGAATGGGTAAAATTTTAAAACTGAACACACCAAGTTTTGGAGAAAATGTGGAGGAACTGAAAGGCTTGCACACTGCTGGTGAGAATATAAAATAGTACAACCACTTTGGAAAACAGTATCACAGTTTTTAAAAAAATTACATATACAACCAACAACTGAACTGGCCATTTCACTCCTAGGTATTCATCCAAGATAATGGAAGTGTAGATACAAGCAAAGACTTGTGGAAAAATGTTCATGGTAGCTTTACTTGCAATAGCTCCAAAGTAGGGACAACTCAAATAGCCAACAGGGAAATTGACAAATTATGTTACTTCCATACAGTGGAATATTCTCTTGTGATAAAAATAAGTGAGCAATTGATACATGGATGAATCCCAAAATAATTATGCTGAGTAAGAGGTGCCAGACAAAATGTACATAAAATATGTATATATACACGTATACATATATATGTACATATATACACACATGTATTACATTATTCCATTTATATGAAATTCCAGAAAATGCAAACTCATCTATGGTGCCAGAAAGCAGATTAGTAGGTGTCTAGGGATGAAAGAAGAACTACAAAAAGGGGAAAACTTTTAGTGGTGATAGATTAGCTCATTATCTTGACTATATGATGGCTTCATAGTCATAGGCATATATACATATATACATATATATATGTGTCAAAATTTGCCAAATTATATTTGCTATGGACAGAATGTTTCTGTCCCTGCCAAAAAACAAATTATACAATGAAGTGCAACTTTCTAATGTAATGTTATCTGGAGGTAACCTTTGTAAGA